ATTAAAATCAGCCAAAGAAAAAAAGCACTTTACATACAAAAGAAAAAAGGTAAGACTGACAACACACTTCCCAAAGTGAAAAGTGAGCCACAAGACAACGGAACAACATCTTTAAAATACTCAAAGGAAACTACTGTCAACCTAACATTATATAGCCAGCAAAAATATATTTGGAAATGAAGGAATATTGAAGACTTCTTAAAGACATACAGTATCTAAAGAAATTCATCACCAGTAGACTTGCATTACAAAAACATTATAAGACATCCTCAGAAAGCAGAAATGATAGCAGTTGGGAATATGGATCTATAAGGAGGAATAAAGGACACCATACTGTCCTTTTTCTGGGCATCTAGGGTAACTATCTTGCACATATTAATAATAATAGAGATAGCTAATAAACATATTTTAAATAAAGTGATTATTATAGTTGATAGGCAATATTAAGAACAAGTTATGTATTTTTCCTTCTTAGCTTTGTATTTATTTCCATGTTTGGATTCCAAAATAGGCTTTTAAAATTTATAGATATCAAGTTTATTATTTCCAACAGCATTTTGCTTTACAAACATTTTTGGTTAGCAACATTTTTATTTTGGACAACTAAAAGTAACTTTGTATTCCATTTTCCTGTTTTAACTGCAATATACAGATTTTCCTTTCAAAAGGCAATACCTAAATGGAAATTGTATTTCCATATGCCATAACCACCAATCACAACTGATGGGTTTACCTGTTGCTCAGAAGAATCTGCAGGAAATTGAACACTATGCCTTGTAACTCATCAGGCTCACAAGCTCTCAATGCCTTGGACCCCCTGGAGTCAATTCTATGTTTTAAGTATCTGTCAGGTCCACAGAATTAAGTGTCTAACTCATAAAAATGAATAACACTGATTTATTCCTCCAGAAGGAAGGCTAACTTTTCATTTCAGCATGCTTTAATGAACTCTCATCCATTCTGCATGCTCAGGCAATGAGTAATTTCTGGTAACTGAATGTTTTGGAAAGCTGAAAAATTACCACAAATCTTTTTATTTTATTGCCTTTTAAAAATCTACCAAATTTTCCCTGACTTCCTAAATTATAACACCATGTTCTAGAGATGATGTCACTTGACTGCTTTATCAAAAATGAGCCACTGAATGATGACTTACATAGGGCAATTTGCCTGTAATGTAGCAATTTGATACCTAGGAGTAGTTCTTATTTATTAAGGACTCTCTTTGCTTCCCCTAGGAACAAAGTTTCTGTCGAGAAAAATATCCCTTCATCAGTGCCCTTAAAATGTTACCAACATTACTGCTCTTGCCCATTCCATCATGCAGAAAATTCTATTGTATCTATTTAATCCTTTTACTACTCACTACCGTTTCCCTTTTCTCATCTATTTCTTTTATATGTCATTATTTTTCCTGGATTTTAAGATTTGGACTATAAGACTAGATTTTGCAGACATTACTGAATAATAAGAAAATTGTGCTTTGTTTGCTTTTCTTTTGTATATAACAATTGACCAATTCATTCAAAGATTTAAAGATTGGGTGTAATCTTTAAATCGGCAACAAGTTATACAGGAAAAGTGTTGGCATGTATTCTAGTAGTGATCAACTAACGAAAGTAAAAAAGAACATTGATTGAAAAGGACTTTCAAGGACATAGGGAAAAAAGGAGGTTCTCATGCATGACTCCAGGCACTGTACATTGAAAGAACCTGTTCATATTATTGCTAAGGACAAACTAGCAATAGCTATCAAAATTTTAAATTTATAAACATTTTACACAACAATTTATTGACCCAATAAAATTCTGTAATGTACAAGAAGTCTGCATTACAGTGTTGTTTAAATAGCAGAAAAGCAGAAACAGAAATGCCTACCTGTAAGGTATAAGTTAATTAGATAATTATGTTGCTCCAAAGAAAGCCCACAAAACATCAAAATATTAAAAGTCCACAAAACTAAAAGACAGTAAGTAGTGCATTCTATTATCCTATTTATAATGGAAAAAATGTATATGTAATATTTCTGTATATAAAAAGGAATGAAAGATAATACAGTCAATTAAAAGAAATTACCCCTAAAAGATATATGAACATGTGGTTCAGAGAATAAAAAGTCATTATCATGGAATGATACTCATCTTCACTAATAAACCAATAGATTGGGGATTCTACTTTTGTTTGAATTAAAAATACAGTTACAGATTGTCAAAATTTTTTTAATTTTAAGTCTTTATCAAGTCATTTTTTAAAAATGAAAGTTAAATAGGCTATCACACCATATTATAGACAAATATATCATAAATCGTTTATACAAATGATTCCTTCCTACCTCATTTATGGATTTTTTTCACTATTGCTGTATGTGTGTACGTGTGTCTGTCCATCTATCTCTGAGGTTGTGAATGCTCCTTCTCTATCCCATGATTTATGGTTCAATGTTTTACAGTAAAATCTTTCATCTATTTGGAATTCATTCTAGTGGTTGGGAGGAGGGGTGTCTGTCTTAATCTTTCCCAAACCAGTTGTCTTAACACTGTATTGAAGTTAAATCCAATTCCACCCATCCCCCACATCCCTCATATGGGCCACAATCATGATTCACCTGAATTATTTCTACAGGCTCCCAACTGGCCTCCCATTCAGTACTCCTTCCATCCCACCCTCCCTCAACCCACAGAAACTGTTCTGTATACTACATAGAGTGACTGCATCACTTTCCTGCATTTAAATCCCTTCAATGGCTTTCCACTGCTTTTAGGATGAAATCCTAACTTTTTAATAAGCTAACAATTAGGGCAGCCATATATTTTATCACATAAATAAGGAAACAAATGAAATGGACAGGGAGGCTAATGCCAACTACAATATCACGTGTCTAGAATCCTACCCACTTCCTACACATTATTTCCTGAACATTCATCTTTCATGCTGATTTCTTACCCACTCTCTAGTCACACTGCTGTACCAATATGAAAAATAAAGAAAACTGCTCATCTAAAACATTTTCACCATAATACAGCTTAAGTCTTCACTTAAACAGTGTTATCCAATGGTGCTGCAAAACATCATCTAAAACGGTAACTCTCTCTTGAGTTAAAACTAGTGTCCTTCCCATATAATCTCATCATTAGCGATTTTTTTATTAAAGTATCATTGATATACAATCTTAGGAAGGTTTCACATGAACAACATTGTGGTTTCAACATTCACCCTCTTTATCAGTCCCCCTCACCCCTCAACCCCATTACAGTCACTGTCCATCAGCACACTAAGATGTTATAGAGTCATTACTTGTCTTCTCCATGCTGAACTGCCTTCCCTGTGGCCCACCTATACTGTGAGTGCTAATTATAATGCCCCTTGATACCCTTCTCCCTCCCCACCCACCCTCCCTAACCCCTTCCCCCTTTGGTAACCTCCATAGTCCCTTCTGGGAGTCTGGGAGTCTGCTGCTATTTTATTACTTTTGTTTTGTTTTGTTGTTATACTCCACAAATAAGTGAAGTCATTTGGTACTTGTCTTTCTCCATCTGGCTTATTTCACTGAGCATAATACCCTCTGGCTCCATCCATGTTGTTGCAAATTGCACGATTTGTTTTCTTCTTACGGCTGAATAATATTCCAAAGTGTATATGTACCACATTTTCTTTATCCATTCATCTATTGATGGACACTTAGGTTGCTTCCATATCTTGGCTACTGTAAATAGTATCAGCGATTTCATTTCAAATACTCTTGAAAAGAACACCAGTCATATTTTTGTTGGAAACATTCCTCTTTAGTTTCTATACTCAAACCTAGAAAACCCTCTCAGAGTTGTTTAACAAGCTTCTCAGAGCTAACTTCGCCATACTCTGGTTAATATTAACTTCTCATGTGCAGACTAAGACAATGAAATTTTCAGGCTGTTCTTTAGTTACTGATCTCCTCTGAGCTCTTAACCTTTCCACGCATATTGTCTTTAGTTATCAAGTAACTATTCTAATTTAATCTGATCCTTATTCTTTAGAACTACAATTTAACCAATCTCCTCTGTATCTACAAGTCAATTATTACCATATTACTAACCATAGTCCATTTACTCTTTACAGCAATACATTCATGTACTTATATTTACTTATAGGAATTAGAAATTACAGTCCATGCATGTTTTCACTTCATCTTTTATTTCACATCACCTTTCTTTTTTGAATATCAATTTAAGACCATATATAGCATAGTTCCAAAGGACATTTCTCAAGGAAGGTAGGAACCAGTTTTGGCATCTAGGAAGAAATTTTCATGCCAGTCTCTAAATTCTTAACAGAAATCATCATATAAGATAACTGATTCTTTTAATTACATAATTATATAATTCAGATATGTAATTTTGACTCATGGAACAATATTTTACAGACAATTATAGTAGCATCAAGTCCAAAATATACAGATAATAGGATTCAGTGCATTGATGACCTTAGCATAACAAAATTTCAAAATACCTTCAAAAGGTAGTTCTTACCTTTTCCTTCCAAGTGTATCACCTTTGGAGGAAAAACAAGTGATACACTTGGAAGGAAAAGGTAAGAACTACAATCTGCCTACCAGTATTTACTGGCATTTTATAATGGGAAACTGCTCTGCTCTGTGAAAGGTAGGATATATTAAAACTTGAATCAGTACAGGAAGAGAGATGGGTAGGAAGCAGGGGAAGTGGAAAGCTGAAATGATCATATAGACAAATAGATACAGTTGTGAAATACATTAGAATGCTATTAACAAGCCAAGTGAAGCAACACTGTGTCTGCCACCTTAAATTCCAAGCTTCCCAATTAAAGTATTTTGTAGTTTGTCACACTATCATCAAAAAGTTGAACTCCTTTTTGCCTACTTGGATTTAGGCTATTAAAATGTGTGCACTGTTTGAAAATACATTTACTTGAAATTTGATGTTTGAAACATAATTCATCTGTAGTCTCAGAAAGTGGCCTTTTTGGAACATATTACATGTCCTCACCTTCACATTGGGTTTTGACAGTAGTTTCAACAGCTCTCTGATCTCACTGTTTAATGGCTTGTTCTGAAGCTCTTCAGCCAGCTGCAAAGGAGATCATATGGACACAAAAACCAGTTAGCAGCAGCATTGTGCAGTGTGGTGCATGACAACTGAGAATCTATCTTGTTACTTTCCAGAGACTAAGGAGAAGTCAGCAAGAGACAAAACAGACTATCAATCACTGCTCTTCTTTTTAGACTCTTGGTAGCCCAGTTCCCAGTCCAGGCTCTCAGCTGAGGACAGCTCCAGGAATCATTATCAGCCAGACCACCTCTGATTTACTACAATGAGGGCAAATCCCAGCATCTCATCTAAGGAATGGTCTTCTGCATGCAGATAAAGGACCATTTGTAAAAAGGACTGTATCAAGGTTTGACATTATTTAAAAAAAAAAGAGGAAGAAGAAAAAAACCTCTGAATGAGGTGATGAAATCTACAGCGTTTCCAAAAACTCACAGTGCTTGCTGTTTAGAGCTGGAGTAAAAGAACTAGAATGCTTCTAATAGAGCAAATGGTCTGAGACTCTTACTATGTTTACCTACACAGACTAAGAAGTCTGTTAATTATAAGCCAGTTTAATCATAAAATGACTTATAATAGGTTGACAACTACTCTGGTACCAAAAAGTGCTGACTGTACTACAATGACCAAGAATCCCCACTTGCTGTTTCTAGCTAAAGAAATGGTTGGAACTTTGAACCTGCCTCATATTCTTAAGAGATCTTTCTATCAAAATTTCGATTCAATTTTAGGCTAGGAAGGATCATATAATTTTCATAAGAAGCAAGGCTCAAATAGAAAAAAAGATTAGAACTATGAAATATGTAGTTCAGGATTCCAAATATGACATACATACATTTTCATTTAAAAACCCTTCTTGAAACATTACATGAAATTTCCACTTTTCCTATGGCTTCTACCAATCTAAAAATGTTTACACAAAAGGACTTTTCTCTAAGAGCATAATATAAATTATATACACAAAAATAAAATCACTTAAAATTAGTATATTCATTGATTGTATTTCAAAAAAGCTTTCACTTTTTCAAGGTAACATTTTTACTAATTTTTGACTGACAGAAGTTGAAAAAGACTGCACTCCATTTAATGTATAATTACATATATGATATAAAAAAATAAAATATGTATCGTTTAAAAATATAATTATTAAAAATATTTGAATATGTTGCTCCAGTGCATTACAAAATGCTACACTTTATCATATTTGCATCATAGTCTCCAATTTTTCTAAAAAGCAAATTGTTATAATATGACTGGACCCCAATTACTTTATGAGTATTTCCCCAAACCCTCAACAGTCACTGTTTTAAAGCTGGTTTTTAGAACTTTCAAGTGGCAAATGCAGCTTACTAGTAGAACTCTATTAATAGAACTCAATATATATACATATATATTTGGTTCAATAATGCAGAGGTAAGCTTCCTCATAAAACATATATATTGAAACATCCTTGTAATTTGTAATCTCTGTAGATAAAAATGGAGGGGAAACTACTTGGGGACCAAACTAAAAGCACAAAACTTGTAGATTTACTACATATACTTGATTTTCTAAATTAAAATAAAACATACATATCAGAGAACACCACCTCTGAAAAAGGCCAATTTTTTTTTTTTATTATACATACGACCATAATGAAGACTGGACTACAAGTCTGTTTATCATAACAAAGTAAAAAATTAAACAGCCACAAATGGCTACAGGCTATCACTACAAAGAGCCTTCACACTAAACCTGCTTCTCGTCTGCTTGGGACCCTTTATAGTTTATCCAGGTGTGCTCAATTCATCCGAGTCCGAAAGTTAACATTAAGAAACAGCAATGAGTTCCCTTCCTCAGATTTAAAATAAAATTACAGCTACAGGAAATTAACTACTCCATCAATGCCAACTGCTTTTAAAATTTATTTTTTGATTATGAAAGTAATTTGGAAAGGTCTAATCTCAGTAAATCATTGCTATGCCTTATAAGCCATTTTACAAACAATCCTGTCCTTTTGTGTATTTCATCGGCCTCACTCCTATACTGGCATAGGTCATATTTTAGGGCTGTCTGCAGTAGCGCTCTCATTTGTCTTTATTTCTCCAAAGCATTCCTCTTGCCTGTGATTTTGTCAGAACCCTAACAGCTGACAGCTTCTCTCCCCCATAAAGTTACAGCCCCAAATTTCTATTACGTCGTTACCAAGGCAGAGCAAGAGGGTATCTCCAAGCAACATTTTTAGAAAAGTAAAGTGAATGGAAATCAACATTCTATCAGCATAAGCTCAGCGATGACAGGACCCCGAAACAGCGACAGCCTCTCGGGGTTTCCGCTCCCAGGATCACACGCGTCCGCGCCAGGCTGAGCCCCGCCGAGGCCCGCCAGGCAGACGCGTCCCCGCGAGCGCAGGAGGGCGCACTTACGTCATCGGCCAGGACTGCCGCGCCCGGGAGGACGGGCCTGGGGTTCTGCTTCTCATAGTTGTGCAGCTTCTCATGAATCTGCGAGACAAGCAAGCGCGTCTAAGTCACCTACCTGCTGGCGAACAACCGGAGACATTTAAATATTTTCATCATTATAGAGAAACCTGACTTGTTGAACCTTATAAACAAAAAGTATGTTTCTATAAACCTACAGATGGCAAATGTGTATGTAGTTCCATCTATTCCATGACTTCAAATGGAAAGAAAAAATCATTATCAAATCACATAAAAGCTAAACCTTTGTTTTTCCTCCCAAATAATCATGTTAGTTTCATAAAATATCATTTCTGAAACATAGTGCTGCAATACTTCAAGTATCAGTTGTAGTTTATATTCTTGCTGAAATCAGAAATTATGATAGAAGCAAAGTGGTAAACTGGCAGCCACATTCCGACAGTTTGCTATGTAATACCCAAGAGTGAACTTGCAGACAGCACATGGACGGGACTCCAGGAACGCCTCCCGGAGCACACTGTTCCTTTGACTTACTACTCTGTTTTGTCAAATGGTCAACTTCCCCCTATATTCAAATTTCTAAGAAACAATGGGATTTCTTACAACTAGAGGCATTGCTCATGCTATTTATCTTAAAAAATAATTTTCCATATTGTGAAACAAGTAAAATTATACTAATAAAAATAAGTCATACTCATTTATACAAACAAATTAATAAAAAATAAATTAAAAATAATTTGGTCCTTTGTTTCCCATCATTACCCAACACACATGAAGAAAATAATATATTTGCATGCATTTTAAAACAGAGTTGCTTAAAAAATCACATACTATACTTGAGAAAAGAAAGAGGCTTTGGAGAATACAAAACTATCAGCACTTAAGTTTAATCTATTTCACCTCTTCTATAGGAACTTAAAATTTTATACTTCACAGTTACTTTAGCCTCTTCTTATTTGTAGCTGAAGAAACTGAACCCCCCCCCCCTTACATAGGAAAGACAATTGCATCTCAGAATTTCCTGCTTTTAATCTAGGAATATACTCTTTAATTATACTCAAGGTAACCCAGACTGTAAAAAGTCTGGAATATGGATTTTATTTTGATTAGCCAGATGCTATTGCTAAGAAAAGATTCTGTTACCTTGCTGGCAAACTGGTACATAATGCAAAGAAAGCATCAGGGAAAGAATTTTAACACTTATGATATTACCAGAAAGATCTGGGCAACATTTGTACTTCCTATTTTGGAACCTTCTAGCATTTATCACGTTGGCATAATAAACAAATTTTCAAGCATAAAGGCAAACAGATACACAGGAGTTGAACAACTTGCTGTGGTTCCACAGACAGTAAGCAGCAGAGCTGGGATTTAAAACTCAACGCCATCTAGCCCTGAGACAAAACTCTTATTAATCACTCCACTTGCCTGCCTCTCAGACCAACATCTCGTCTGTGTTTTTCACTGACCTCATTCCCTGCCGCAAGCATGGGACAGAAAGAAGGCTGCATACATAATACTAACAGCTGTTTTCAATGACTACAGGGTTACTGATGGTTCCTCTCTATCCTTCCCACTTATTTTTTCTTCCCATGGTTCCTAATTTTTCTAGATTAATTTATAATACTCTGATTATGACCTAGAATTACATGCCCCAAATACATCATTTCTGCACTTAATTTGCTTCTTCTGAGCGTCCTCAAAAAATAAACAGCTACTTTTCCCACACAACCTGCTCTAGATCTTCACCCAAGTGATGTAAGAGTCCAACCTACCTTGCCCAGCCCTGGACTTTGTACTGTATCAAGAATTTTTAAATGTTCTTCTGTAATTTCCAAATACTGGCAACCCCATGATGATAAGTGTTTTTATCTAGTATATAATTTAAACAATTACATTGGTAGGAAAGTAATAATGATTCTAAATAATTTTGAGTTGTTTGCTACTTCCAAGAATATTGACAAAAATTCTGATTTTCATTAATATTTATAATACCAGGGAAGAAAATTAAAAACAAAAGTGATTTTAAAATTCTAATATAATAAACAAGTAACATGTATAGACTTCACCTCAAGGCTGTCCAACAGAACTTTCTGGGATAGGGAAAATGTTCTATTATCTGCTTGTCCAATAGTTACCAGCCACACGTGGCTGTTAAGCACTTGAATTGTAGCTTGAGGAACTGAATTTTTTAATTTTATTTAATTTTAATTAACTAACATTTAAATACCCACATGAGACTAGAGGTTTTCATCTGGATAACATGGCATAGCTTTATATTGAATACTCTGTGATTTGCCTTTATACCACAGGAAAATTCACTCTGATACAGTTTGGCAAATTTCCCTGAGTAGTAACATTTTGGAATCCAATAGACAAATATATATCAAAGATAAGGCCTAACTGCAATAAGGCGAATAAGGCAAATATTACTAAATATGTGTAACAAAATTTGCAAGATCTCATTTATTTTAAACTTTTCCCTTTGTAGAGTCAACCATGTAATAAAAGTGTGCTTCATATTTTTCTCTCCTGAACAGTAAGACAGCAGCCAAAGTGAAAAGAAAGGAGTTTGGAGTTAAAGGAGCCTGGAGAGAAAGGGAGACTCGGGTTATTAATTTCATATGATAGAAAAATAACGCAGAAGATCCTAAAAAAGAATGGCATGCTAAAGCATTTGAAATACAATATTGAGAAAAAAATGACATTTCAAAAAATGTGTATACATTTATGCTCTATTAAATAGTGCATATGTATGTGTCCATAAGGGTTTGTTTTCTATAGATACATTTATAGTCAGAAAAAGTCAGTTAAAATAAAAATCATGTCTATATGCAACCAGTTCCTATACAAAAGCTATAATTAACTTTTATTTAGACACATCTTGAAAATAAATGTTTAATTTTTATAAGGGAATCTGGTGCCAATAATCTAATTTTAGTACACATACAGTAGAAACTGTTTTCAGTGAAGCTTCAATAATGAAAGTATAAATAAAGCTTCACTAGTGTCAATGGAATCATTTCTTCTAAACCTCTCCATGGTGAGTAGACATAAACTGAAACCCCAATTGTGGTTAGCTGAATGACATGGAATGAACCATAGATATAAAATCCTTCCCTGACTACTATTACGAGCATTAAAAAGCACTGAAAATTAACTGCTCAAAAGTTTGAATCTTTGCTATGTTAACAGTACCCANACACACACACCAATCCAGACTGGCATGTGTGTGCAGACCACACACACACACCCACACACACACACCTCCTCTATTTAAAACAGGGGAGAAGGGAATTCTGAGTATTACAAGACCCATGGCACAAGAAGAGCTGGGAATTACATGCTATGTTGTGAGCGGATAAAAAAATCAAAGTACTGTAATGGCTAACATCCTCCTTAAAAGTTAATAAATATCGTCTTTCTCCAAAAGAAAAAAACAGACAGTGGCTCAAGAGAAAAAAGGAATGACAAAGAGAAGGAGAAACTGAAAATGAAGCAGAGCAGAGACAACATGCCACCCATTTTCCTCTGCAATTTTATGCCACTGATCTCTCTTGGCTGATTTTCTTAAAAAAAATTATTAATAAGACTGATGAAAGTTGACATTGTCTTATTCCTGCCTCTACTGTGACAAATTCCAGCTATACTGATATAGATATATATTATCATGTGAAACCAGTATCATGTATTCTAAATGTATCAAGAATGTTTAAAGGAATGTTCAATTTAACAAAGTGTTTTTCAGCATACACATTTTCCTATTTGACCAGTTAATGTAGTGAATTCTATTTATAGATTTCTAAATACTGGCCCAGCTTTGCATTCCCACAATGAACCTCACTTGGCTATGGTATATTTTTCTTTTAATGGGCTGTGGAATTTCATTGGCTAATATTTTATTTGGAATTTCTGCATCAACATTTATAACAGAGTGGCAGGGTTTTTCTAGTCCTGTCTTTATTGGCTCTTGATATCACTGTTATGCTCAATTCATTATTTTTAAAATGATGGAAACTTTCTATGTTTTTATACGCCCTGAAAACACCTAAATACTTCTGGGATATATCTTCCTTAAATATTGGATGGCATTCCCCTGAGAAACCAGCTGGCTCTGATACACTCTGGAGGGTCACTTTATCCCCCAACTTTATTTCTTCTGATTGGTTTTATGGTAATTTCTCCATCTGCGTTTTACTCTCTCTTCTCATGTCAGTTAAAAAAAAATTCTATTTCCTAGAACTTACTCATTTTTATCTGGCTTTAAAAATTATCTGAATCTACTTAAGCAAAATAGTCTCTTAGGAAGTCTTTGAATTTCCTCTACTACATATGTGTTTCTTAATTACCATTTCTTACTTGTTGTATTTGTGCTTTCTCTATGTTTGCCCTTCATGAGTTAAATAGCACTGATTTTGCTATATTTTTGAAGAACTGCTTTTTAGATTAGTTTTGCCATTTTTGTTTTCTTTGCATACTGAACTCTTAACTCACACCCACAAGGAGCTCTAACTCAATCCTTTCTTCTTCATGTAACCCAGCCCTACATAACACTCAGGTCATATGTATCATACAAATTATTGGCAAACAGAAGAAAAGGGAAACTATTTGGAATTTTGTTCATTCCTAAATTATAGACTAAAATAAACACCCACTCTAGGAGATGCTCAGAGTCAATTTGGAAGAAAAATAAGACAAGAGTGTAAATAATCTAAACTTTCTACTCAGAAAGGTGATATGGGAAAGAAAAAAGGGGACATACATCATGAAAGGACAACTGTAGTTGACTTATTTAAGCAAGTTAAAGTATTTGTCCCTCTTTCATTCATTGTTCCTTAGTTGAGCAGCTGAAAAGGAATAGATTTTTGTCAATTTAAATTTTGCCATTACAGTTGACCCTTAAACAACACAGAAGTTAGGGGTGCTGACCCTTCACACAGTTAAAACACCCACATATAACTTTTATCTCCTCCCAAAACGTAAACTGTTAATAGCCTACTATTGACCGGAAGCCCTACCATTAATGTAAACAGTAATTCACACATGTTTTGTATATTTTATGA